AAGATATTAAAATTCTAATAAATTCAGAAAAAGATAAGAATTACAGATTAATCTCTGTTGTCTATCATTTTCTCTGCACGATTAATAGGTGTTATGTTTTCTCGACCACTTTGCAGTTGGTATTTACTATTTGAGATAGTCTTGCTTATAAAGAGCTTTCATTTAAAAGTCTAAACATTTAACAAACTGCCACATTGTAGAGATTATAGTTAAAAATATTGTGGGGGGAGGGCTGGCCGAGTCGCTCAGTTGGTTAAGAGCTCTCTCAAGAGTTTGAGCTCTGAGCAACAACAGTTCAACACCTGGCCCGAGCTGAGCAGCCGCTGAGCTGCCAACAGGTGGCAGGATGACTCAGCTTAAAAAAAAAAAGAAGAAAAAAAATATTGTGGGGGGGGGAAAGTGAATAAACGAAAAAAGGAACTCACTGGGTTACAACAAGGATTTATTCTCATGCTCACCGGTCTAAAGGCTGACTGTGCTTTGACTAATTAAGGCTGGGTTCTGCTGGGCAGCTGGGCTGCAGGCACAGCTGGGTTTGGCTCCTCACTGCAGGCTGCACCCAGGTCTGGTCTACACATGTTCATTCTGAGGTCCTGGCTAAGTGGGCACAGGACCAGAACCCAGGAGGGCAGGCCAACCATGCAAGTGATTTGTAAGCCTCTGACTTATATCACATTCACTAATTGGCCAATTCAAGTCACATGATTGAGCTCAAAGTCAGGGGCAGGTAAGTACATTCTGGCCACCGTGAGGCCATGCAAGGGAGTGAATGTATAATTCCAGAACAGAGGAATGACAAACTGGGACAAAAATGGAATGAATCTCCCACATTCCTCTTACTTTTATTTTTCTTGAAGCACAAATTCCTTTCTTTCTAATGTACCCCATAGGACACAGCTTCTAGATCTTTCACCACACTGACAATGTTCTATACCAATTTTAGTTCTGCAGTATTCCTGTTAAATCACAGTGCTCAGAACTGAACACAATCCTCTGCACGTGGTCTGACCCATACTGATTTCTCCTAAAGAAAGGCTTAGTGGCCTTTCCGTGCTGTGTCACACCAGCAGCAGCTTCAGACCTCTCTCATTTACCACACCTCTCATTTGCATAATTTTATTTTGTGCTTGATTAAATCTCATTTTGTCTTGTATAGTAACATGCTGTGCAGGCCTGTAGCCTAGGAGCAATGGGCTGTACCACATGGCCTAGGTGTGTAGTAGGCTGGACCATCCAGGTTTGTGTAAGTGCACTCTGTGATGTTCCCACAATGACAAAATCGCCCAATGACACATTTCTCAGAACGTAATTCCCTCGTTAAGTGGTATATGACTATAGTTATCCCTTAAGTCTCTATTGAAGTAGTACTTCTTCCATAAGCTGTGCCGAGCTTTCTTTTTTTTTTTAATAAATATTTATGAGTCCGTGTTAAAACAGAATACTCCACAAGGTGCTGCAGATATTGCAGTGAACAAGACAGACACATTCCTTACACTTACATGGCTTAATATCCAGCTGGAGAGAAAGACATAAACAAATAAGTGATCAATTAATTACAACTGCAATGAGCACTACAAAGGAGAAGTACAGTCCCATCTGAGCAGGGGTTAGAGTTTGTCTTTTGTGTGCTCATGGCTCCTCCTCTTCCTAATAGTTATCACACTTTATTGTAATTAGCTGTTGTCTCTATTCCCTACTATGAGTGGAAGGTATAGACATGAACTGGACTGTGTTTCCATAGCCTGGTATGACTCCTGTTGAATAAAAATGCTCAATAGTTATTTGTGGAATGAGTGACTAAATGATCAAGTGGAATTGTCCAAAACACCAAATTAATAAGCCAGGATAAAACTTAAACTTAGGACTCTAATCCCCATACTTTTGTCTCTATCTAGCATTACCAAGAAATGGTAATGATTCTAACAAAAGCTAGCTTACTACACAACTACAAATATAAAGGAATTAACATATATACATATTATTTATAAACTATGCCTAGCTGTAACATGAAAACCCATGTATATACACGCATCATACAGTGTAGCATACATATCTTGTACTAACATAGATATGCTAATTAGTGACCCCATATTCCTTATTTTGATTATTACTTAGGCATTCATAATGTAATATGTTAAACATATAAACTTATAGATTTAACTGAAAAATTAAAACTGAGCTCAAGCCTAAATAAATGGTAACAGCAGCAGTTATAAATAACAAACACAAATATATACAAGTTAAGGGTTATTTTTAAATGCAATAAAGAGTAATTTCTTAAATGTGTAATTCAAAGTTTATGCTCCAAAGAATGTTATAACAAACAAGAAAGTCTCACACATGACAGAGTAACAGCTGTTCTTTCACTCTACAGGTACACAGTCACAGCATGATCAGCCTGCCATCCTAACTTAAAGACATTAAAATATTTTATTTCCTTTAAATTTTCCCATGAATTTACAGAAATTACAAATCCAATCCCCAAACTGCTAGCATACCTTCCTTTTACTTTCTTCGAAGAGAATCATTTTAAGCTAGTCTTATAAAAACAGTCTCGCTTACTAAAGGGAGTTAGCACCATCTAGTGAAAGAAGCTGGCAGAAAAATAAGTTCCACTAGGAGAATGCTACTTCAGAACTGAAAAAAAAATTGCTGAAGTAGCAGTATAACAGATGAACTTAGGACAATATAGAAAACTACAGCAGTAAAACCCCCTTGTGATTATGTCGTGTTCATTTATGTTGGACTCTAACAGACTTTGGCTATTAATAATACATCTGTTCTAAAAACCTGATGCTCAGTATTATAATCATCAAAAAATTGCCAGAAATTTCAAAATTCTAATTATGAAATGTTTAAAAGGAAGATAATTTGTTATGTCGCAAGCACTACTATGTAAGTCTGATCCATTGATACACTTTCCATTCCTCTAACTTGTAGCCAGATGTAAAGGGCCTTGACTTTATCCCGTAGACCTTGGAAAGCCATTACACATTTTTGTATGGGGAAGATAAGTTTGGTGGCTTCACATGGAAAGTGTGTCAAGGAAAGGCTAACCAGTTGGGGGTTGATGGTAGTAATCTAGACAAGAGATGCCCAGGCCTGAGCTGAAATGGTGAACAAGTGGCCAGTGGGTGTGGGGAACACTACAACATACAGAATGTCTCTAAACTTCTGCAGCAATATTTTTTTTAAATTTCATCATACCTCCTTGTATCTTTTCTATTATTGTCTTAAACTGTATTGAAACAATCACTTTTTTTGGTCTTATTCCCCCTACCAACAGGTAAGCTCCTTGAGGATAGAAATTAATATAGATGGTAAATAATGATTTAATTAAAAGACTATACGCATGGGGTCACTTATTCAATGATGTAACTTATGCAGATAACAAAACATATAGTAGTGGGTTTTTAAAAAACTACTTTTAAAAGATTCTTCTTGTAGAATTTTGGATAAATATTATGTTCATTATGTATATTTACATTATGTATATATACCAACTCTCAAATATGTGATCATTGCATCATGATGACAATTTTTATCTGATGGATGAAAAAGCACTTTGAAATGAGTTGGTCCTTTTATACTGCATCTTTGGATAAAAAGGTCAACTCATCTATTATCATTTTTCCCCTCAATTTCTTTTTTAAAGAATATAGTATGATTTATTTTTAAATGTTGAAAAGCAGGAAAACTAAATATTAATTTTATTTCAGAGATATATATATATAGTAAAACTTTCATGTTTTACCTTCAAAACAAAACATGTCCACATGTTTAAAACCTAACTTTCAGGACCGGCCAACTGGC